GCGCTGGAGCGGACCGGCTCCACATACGTTTCTGAGCTGTTGCAGCTCTGACTTCTAAGCCACTGTACCCCCTTTTTTTTTTTTTTAAAAAAAGATTTATGTACTGATGCACACAGAGCTGGGTGCAGGCCAGAGGTGCAGGGGGTGAGAGGACTCACCAGAGACTGACCAAGCCCACTGCTGAGGGGAGCAGCGGGGAGACAGGAGGGGTCCGCCGCGGCCTGGGGTCGCTCCGTGGCCGGGGGTTGGACTCGTGCCCCAGCGGCTGCCGGCAGCTTCACAGCGCTGCGCTTTCACCCGCTGCACCACCGGGGGGGTCCTGTGTCCCCCGATGTTTATATCTCAAAGTCTAAGCAATCTGTACTTTTAATTAAAGGATTAAGAAAACAGAGCGGCGTGAAGGGCCTCGCTGCGGAGGTGTTTTCTTTTTTAGATCAACGGTGTTACGCGTGGATTTCCTCGACAGACCATCCCCTTGGGTTTCAGAGCACGGCTGTGAAATCCGAGAGCGGCGTGAGGACGGGCTCAGGGCGGGGCGAGGCCGGCCTGCCGGCTGTCTGCGGGAGGCCTGCAGTGAGTTCTGCCACTCCCGCCGCCGCCTGCGTTTGAGTATCTGCTGCTGATGTTCAGTTTTGCTCACAGTTGTACAGTGCATGCAGGTGGGATTTCCCAGGTTCCACTGGCATCTTGTTTGCACTCAGCAGACAGAGGCCACGGAGGCAAATGGGCATCTGAGCAGGCGTCTGCGGGTGCTGCTCTGACATGAAAGTGACGAGGCGTTAGATTGAGACAAGGGGCCGCTCAGGCCGGCTAAGAACATGAGCTGACCCTCGGCGCGCGGCAGCCCTCTCCCGCCCCCCGCTGCCCCCCCAGCAGTGGACTTCGTGGCCTGCTCTGCTCCCCGCCAGTCTCTGGGGAAGCCCCTCACCCGTTGCGCCTCTGGCCTGTACCCCAGTTCTGTGTGGATACATAAAAAAAGAGTCCGAGGCGCGTGTTTTCACGCATTCTGGACTTACCCCCTCTGCCCGACTTCTGTGAGAGCAGTCTCCGCTTTCGATGGGCCGGATGTGTCCTTGTGCATTTTAATGGAGAAGAAATGCAGAAACAGTTGAAATAATTCTTCCTGATCCTTCACGTTCTGAAATCGTATTTCTTTGTCTGGAACTCCACGTTTTTATGAAAATTATGCACGGATCTTATTACATTATTCACTTTGAAATGTCAGATATTATTGAAAAGGGCCCATCAGGAATTGCCAGTGCCTCATTAATTCAGTTCAGGAGAGTTTAGCATTCAGTCTTCTACAAAATATCCGCCATGGGGGAAGTCACCGCAGGATCGTTTTCTAGCTCTGGCTTTGTAACCAGGTTAGCGCCTGAGCTCCGGGCGGCGAGTTCCCTACTGTGCACGACGCCTGGAGCGTGGGGATTACTAACAGTAAGGAAGACATGTTTGTGCGAGTCGGCGTGGGACGAGAACTCGGAAAGCCGCCTTTCTTTAACCCTGCGCCGTACGTTGACGTCCGTCCGCAGAGCGTCGGTGATAAGCTTTTGGGTGAACATCGCGGACAAACACTCACCGTGGAAATGCAGCCTGACATGTTGCTCTTTATCTGAGATTGAGCAGTTTGGTGTTTTTGCGACAAAATCACTGTTGAATTAGGCGGCTTTTGAGCAAATTGTCGATCCTGCCGGACTCGGTTACTCAGTCTCAGTAAAGCGCTCTGCGACCTCCTGGGGTTCCTCCTGCGCCCCCTAGCACCGCCCCTGTTTGGTAAAGGCAGAGACATCAGCTGTAACAAAAGGGCCTCGAAAATGGCGCCGGCGGGACTGCACAGGCCACACGGCCCCAGCGTGGAAGGGAGGCCTCCCCCGGCCACGCGGCCTGCTGGCTCCGGCGCTCCCGGG